GTTAAACCCGTATATCTTTGGCATCGATCGCGAGTCCCCCTACCTGCTGCTACGTTTCAAGGGATTCTGGTAGTAGAGTCAATGACACCACCATAGTCAACAACAGTCCATTGCACAGGTAGCCCAATATAAATAATCAATCAGCTGTCTGATATAGTTGCTAAATGTATGCTGATCTTAGTGTTTCTCTGTTTTCCTACTTTAGCTGACGACTATCTATTGTCCAACCAAACAATGACATCGAATGGTAAGCAATGAGCAGAAGAAATAATCTTAGTTGTTATTCATGCTCGTCCGAAAAAAAGGTTTTCGAGGAACCGCCGCAGATCAGGAGCCGGTTGTACAAAAGGATGCGAAGCTCGAATAAAAGCACTATATATCTACCAGATAAAACCTTATCCAGCTGATAAACTATTCAGATCACGGATGGCATAATTTGGTTGCACGAAACTTGAATTGGATTTATTCACTGGATCTTATCCTATGCTGGATAGTGCTCATTCAGGCTTCGTACAATCGTTTTCAGTAAGGTATCAAGCATTGCTTTCGTAGGTCTTGAATCGTACACTCCTGAATAGGCCCATCGTAATGTATCAAAATATATTTTCAAAGAACTGGGGTTGTCGGCCATTGAAAGTATTTAGTTGAATCATATTGAAATTACACAGGGTAACTATGCATGGAAAGTTTGTTACATATTTGTACTAAAGCCCGTTTTTTACCCCTCAACTTTAGAGCTCACTCTTTCATCGTCAAGGGCCTTGGGGAGAGAGAAACGTGAGTAAAGTTATTGCTGAAACTACTGTTCTTACATACGGCAGCCACTGCTTCCGGTCTGGCCGAGAATGCTCTGACTGCCGGATTGTTGATTGGACCAAAATCCTGTTCATATACCACTTTTATGAAACGGTCCGTACATTTTCGTATTGAGCCCGGATCGCTACTTATACTGATTCCGAGCCATGTTCTGCTATGAAAGCAAAGTCAGGGCTACACTCATAACTCATGATGGATGTAATTCCGAGTTTAAACCTTTTCTTTGTCGCCAGGTTTGTTTGGTTTGGTACTGTTTATCGTCAGCATTGTTGTCACCGCTGTTGCAACTACAATAGAGACAATCTATGACATCCATGGATGCTGTGGTCTTGGTTTTGATTACCTTTGCAGTTTTGAAGCCAATTTCAAAAGAAAACAATGTGAAATCAAAGACAGAGCAGAAAAAGTGGACAAAAGGCTTCAGGAAGGTTCATCACTTATTCATCACTTATTAACATAGATCATATATAACGTACGCTATTATTATTAGGGACCTTACGACCCACGAAGGAGGGGGGGAAGGACGGCGACGCTGGGAAGATAAAAAAGAACCAACTGACTTCCAAAGAGTACGGCAACGCCACGAAAGACAGCGCATGCAAGAAAAACCATTTGAAACTGAGGTCTCGCGTTATCTCCGGCCTCGCCGTCATCTTTCTCCTCGTGGACCGTAATGTATTAGAGAGACGAAACAATAGAGAAACAAAAGACATTTCTTTTGGACTGGATCTAAGAAAGAGGAATTAAGAGCCTAGACGGCGCTGCAACCACAAAGAGCGCCTCTATCTTTAGCTAGTAATACTTCAGTGCGAAGTATACGGCAGAGCAAATAGTCCCAAGCAAAGGATGACTGAATCTTTGCTTTCCTTAGAAATCATTGACTTTTAAGCTGACTTTTATTTCTCAAACAAATACAGTTCTTTTTAAAAATGTATCTGCACCTGTTTTCAGCTGTAAAGAAAAAGGATAAATTGGAATGTCTGTCCAAAGTTGTGGAAGGGTTTTGGACGGAAATCTCTCGTCTGGTCAACTTGCAACAAGAATTTATAGAGTTAATTGCTCCTGGTTTGAAAGACAGTTTAATGAGAAAACAAAACAAAATACAAGTGAGTATTCCTTACATTTATGTGTCAATGTGTACATTTATGGATCATGTGTAGATTTATGGGTCAGTTTGTAGATTTATGGGTCAATGTGTACATTTATGGGTCAATGTGTAGATTTACGGGTCAATGGTGTAGATTTATGGATCATGTGTAGATTTATGGATCATGTGTAGATTTATGGATCATGTGTAGATTTATGG